ACACACACACACACACACACACACACACACACACACACACACACACAGCAAAGGTAAGTGCAAAAAGCAGGTCCAATTTAAGCAATGGGTTCTACCTCAGTTTTCTGTTTAAAGGAATATCCGAGCCAATTCAAGGTTGTGAGGTGGTTTGTGTCATTTTTATTTCCTACATTACACTGACAGTCTGAGAACTTTCTGAAACAATGAGATGTATCAAAATGAATCTGTAGAATATTTACTCCCATGTATGTGTAAGGGCACATACACAACTTAAGCTGATTCAGTTACCATTTAAGAGTCACAGTGGCAAGCCTGGTGTTTAGAATTTAATTCACTGTGCAGAAATGATTTTTGGGTTATTTTAATATCTTGATAACTGAAGGCTTACTTTCTTCACAGCAGTATCAGTATCTTGTCTATGACAAAAAAATCTTACATTTTAATATTTTAAAACCAGATGCCACACCTTTAATCTCCATGCACTCTGGATGCAGAGGCAGGTACATGTCTCAGTTATAGGACTAGGAGTTGTAGGAGAGCCAGGGCTTCGCAGAGAAACTCCTTTTCAAAAAAACCAAATACTGAGAACTCCAAGAAAAGAACAACAACAAAAACAAACAAAATAACAAAACAACAACAACAAAAACAAGCCAGAGACTACTTAGAGAAGTAGGAGCAATAGACTTCTTATATTGCCGAGTTTAAAAACTTACATGTATTGGGAGAAATATGTCTTAGAAATGACCATTAAAATCTCAAGAGCCATTGGCAGTCCACAATAGGAGCCATTAAGATTAGACTGAACCAAAGTGCACAAAGAAAACTCTGGAGGACAATGCCAGGCATCTGGAAGATGAGTCTTTTCATTCTTACTCTGATCAGATGTGTGCCTTTTATTCTACATTTTTTTCAAATTGAAAACTTTCATGTTTACTTTGCCTTCTGAAGTTAGTTATTCAGGACTCACTACATATAACATTTACAAGTGTAAGATTTTTTTTTTCATCTATTTGTTAAACGCAATATCCCCTAGAATTTTCAGTTATATAATACCAGTCACCAAATAGGAAGAGAACTTTCTTTTAATTTCATTTAAAATTTTCACAAACTTAGGACTAAATGACATTCAAAAGAATGGTAATTACGAATGCAAAGTAGTGTTTACCAAGGGTCAACAAGACATCTGCAGTCGCTTGAATACATATGCTCTGGGACAGACTGAGTAGCTCTCTTTCCTACATAATTCAAATTAGGCAACTACGGTTATAAACTACAAGAAAGTTTCCACCCCATTTGCATGTCCCTACAAAAAAAGGGGGGGACATGCCCAAGAGCCAGCATGAAGACACCAGATTCCTTGTTTTCCAAGCTGCTCTATGCTGTCCACCTCTGCAGAGACAAGGTGAGGAAGGTAAACTCTGCAGACTCCTGAGAGGTAGCTACTCATTGGCCTCCATAACACAAACAGCCTTGGGAAGGGAAATCAGGGAAAGACAGTGAGCTCAATGAAAGCCCAGGAGATTTCAGCATGCTGCACTCTATGCAAGCAGTCCTCTAGGAGAATGAGCCTAGGAATGCAGCAGAGTGAAAACACCTTGCTCTTTTTTCTTGTTCCAGTTCCTTTGACAAATACACACACACACACACACACACACACACACACACACACACACACATTTCCTTCCTTGAATAGAGAATATTGAAACTGTATTGACCAAGCACAGAATAACAAAGCAGAAAAGAGTTTTTAAAGAAATAAAAGCTCAGTCCATCATTTGTGAATAGCACATCACTCAAATTAGTGCTACAATCCAACACAAGCCTATGCAGAAGTTCAGGTCTATGGGGCAGTTTGCTGGCTGGTGAAGAGTAGCTCAGTGTACCTGATTTCCACTAAGCCTTTTCTGTAAAATACAAGTGGAGAAATGTTAGTGTAAGACAGCAGCAGATGCGATTCCTACAGCAAGAGTAGGAGAAAAACCCCTCCAGCAGCTCGGCAGGAGTGTGTACACATTGCACAGACCCCTGCTAAGTGAACGCACACCTGCAATGAAATGCTCGTCTGTGGTGGATACTTTAGAAAGAGGGTGCACGCTCACGGCCCGGTGAAGACAAACGATCGGTTCCTTCAGAATGCATAACAAACAGGCTAAATGGAAAACGACAGGACTTCATTGCATCAGGAGTGAAACAAGGCCATTTTTGAAATGACATAGGAGGAAATTGCCCACCTCACAGCAGATCATTTGCATGGAGTGGTTCTTCCAAAGATCTATTGAAAACAACCAATTTATCACAAGACATGATTATGAGTTCTGCTTCAGTTCACAGATGTCTAGGATAAATTTGGGCTTAAATTAAATAATGTATCCCTAAGTTTTAAGACTCCATGTACTTGAATCGAGTATAAATATAAAAGTAACATTAACATCAATTTCTGAAAATATTTTATTTCTCTGTAATATACGCTCTCTTGGAAAAGAAAATTAATAAACTGTTCTATTGGTGAAAAGGAAATGGCTAGCCCCTATTTTTATGACCCATTATAATTTTATTATAATCAAATATTAACACTGACAAGTGAAGTAAATTTTCTCAAACTATAGAATATAATCCACTTTCTCAATGAGATAAATTAAGATACAATCAATTACTCCTCCCTTATGGTTTACAACAATGGTGATTATTGAGTATTGGCCAGTGGCAATCCTACACTTTGTCTTAGAGCCACCCCTGACTGCCTGTGATAAAACACCACATTTCCTTTCTCCTGGTTCTCACTGGTGCTCTTGGGGATTTTCACTCTCTGTGGTGCCATGTCATGCACTTCCTTATCTCAGTTGTGAATGAAAAAGAGGTGTGTCCAAACAACACACCAAGGATGGCAGCTTCTCACTAAAGAGGTGTATGCAGGACAGTTTACCCCAAAGCTGGTTGCTAGGGAGCTGGGGATCTACACAATCTCTGCCTCAGGGTTCTGAGGTTCTCCCACTCTGCTTCTCCACAAAGAAAAACTGCCAAGTTGCCAAGGAGTTACATGGGAGGAGATAGTAGGGGTCTGTAGGAGGAGTTGGAGAAAGAGGAAATGGGAAGGAGGATGACTTAAGAAACATTATCCATTATTGCATCACCAATGCTTTAAAACTAAAAAAATAAATAAATAAATAAATAAAAAATAAATAAATAAAAAATAAAAAATAAAAAAAATTCTCTGGGCAATACCTTACCTTGAAAGCTGAGATTTGTGATAGTTTATGAATTGTGGCATTTTTATGCTTTGCGCATTTGTTAGTGATTCACATCAAACATGGATTCTTTAGGTAGTATAATTTTCCAACTGGGATTGGAGGATTTGATTGAGATAAATAAGATGTTGATGTATCTTAAGTGCCACCATTTGCCAAGTATTCAGAATTGTACCTTTAAAAGAAAGATGAGACCCAAATCTCTCTAATGTTGCCTTCTCTTTATGCCTGTGTTCCTTTCTTTTCACCAACATTTTTGTAAATATCTTAAAATAGATATGAGAAAAAGCCTAACTAAATGATCACCACAGCCTTTGAAAGACAAATACTTATGCTTTTAAGACACATTTGATTGTTTTAGATTTCCCTTGACTCTAACATCAGAAAGGGTAATATTAAAAATGCATCATACTTTTTCTCTTCATAGATTGTATTTCATAATAATACAGCTTTCAGATACAACTTTTATTTTGCACTTTTGATATGTAGTCAGAAGGTACAATATGTAATAACTTAGTTTCATATATGGATCATACAAAAGTGTGAAAGGTTTACCAAGTATTCTCTCTCCACTCATGAGGTAGCTGCTTGATGGTTGAGGTCAGGCATTCACGAGAAGCCTGCTCCTTGGTGCTTTTAGATACCGAAATTCTTGCAGAGCTGTGAAGACTGCCTTTCCTCCTCGATGCTGGAACAAAAACGTTACCGATATCTGTGAGGGAAGTCTGCCAGTGATACACTTTGAATATAGCCCTGTGGCATTGCTCTGCCCAGTAATATTGACCTCTATTCTTTTGGTCATCGTTTTTCTGCTCCGTAATTATAATTAAGAACTTTTAGGTTGCTGGAAGTGGGAGGAATATTCAAATCATCTATTGCAATTCACCACATTCATCTAATGAAAGCTTTAAGACAGGAAAGGTGAGTAGTCTGATATTATATGCATGTCTTACTAATGGCCAAATTTGCCCTTGAATATTATTGAATATTACGTCTAACTACTAGATCTTATAACCAGTCTTTCTCATATTCCCTTAGAGTTTTCTCCTTAAGTGGGATGGTAGCTTAGAGAGTTTGAATGTATTCACTCAGTAGAGATATGAATATGTTCTATACTCATTCAGTACATATAACAATAACGATTATATGTGGTCTTTGAATGAAACGGATATGTAACCAAATCAAACACCATTTATGTGATAAATAGCTCACTTTCCAGAATCCTCTAAAAACCACACTTTCAAACATCTTTGCTGACATAACCA